GAGAGAGAGAGAGAGAGAGAGAGAGAGAGAGAGAGAGAGAGAGAGAGAGAGAGATGATGCCACATATTACGATTAACATTTTATTCCTCAATCCTCTCAAAACTTTGCATAACATTTTATGTCATTCATATTGTTCATATCAATGGCGCGTCGTCACTCTATCTATGCACATATACACATAGACACTCCACTTCACTTGCATACATATCTACACACAGCTGCCATCACACACACACACACACACACGCACATATACACACACACACACACAGACACACACACACACACACACACACACACTACCCTGTTCATGTCTCTAAATATTCATCCTTTGTGTTTTTTCCTTTTCTCTTGTCGAACGTCTAACGAGTGTCTCTCGTTCGTCCCCTTCGTTCTACTCCTTGTTATCTTCCCCGACATCTTCATCGCCAGCATCCCCCTCTGCATGTGCAACTTGCCCTTCCTCGCTCTCGGAAATGCAATTAATCACATTGGCCGATGTGTTGGACCTTTCGAGTTTATTCTTCTCTTCCCTCTCGACATCATTCAACAGTTTCATCACCTCGCCTGAGTTTTCTTTCGCCTCGGCTGCAAGTTCTGTACACACACCTGGTTGCATCGCCTTTGCAACCACATCCTCCACTGAAGGAGTGGGACTCTCCATTTGCGATGCTCCTTCGTTTCCCAGCTGTGTCAAAAGCGGAGGTCCGTATGATGCAACGTTTGATTTTTGTTCGACCGCCTGAGACGTCGGAGCTCCCTTAACCCCCGTAGTCGTCCGCTCTCCATCTCCTTGAAGAAGGGTGTTTCCCTTCTCTGTGTCGTTTGCTGCGACACGCGTTTGACTCAACGCTTCTTCTGCASTCACTGCAAAGTTAGTCTGCGACATTGCCGCAAGCTGCGAACATCCAACAGTAATGCTATCGAGCCCGTGGCATGTGGGAGGCTGTACGATTTTCCAATCGATTTTGTTATACGACCGGCTTGATGGAAAGTCGTAAAACTGATGCTTGTACGCCAAGCGATTGTTGAAGCGTAGAGACTCGAACAACGATTGGGCCTTCGCGCATATAAGGGCTTCATCGGCACCATGGTTTTCCTTCGTAACGCATAATAGGATTTCACTGTTTGTGGTTTTCAACCATGAATCTTTTGCCATCCTGGGTTTGACTTTCCAGCCATCCCTCAGATGCAGTGCCATTGCCCACTTCCCCTCGTCAATGCACGGTTCGAACGCATCTGGGTGCCACAGTATGTGATGCCCCCACTTCTTTGACGACGTCTCTTCCCCCACGTCATGAAATACACAGGGCGAGGTGGAGCCCTGCATGAAGCTTTCTGGAATATCATCACCGGGCGTCAACTTTGGGAAGACACCTGGAACAACCAAGTCATCCTCCTCGGCGTCTTCCCGCACGTCGTTCATCCTCATCCCTCCAGACATCCGTCCGATGGACCTCTTCTCTCCTTGATATCCGTAGCGATTGCCGTGAATTACGATGTTAATTACGGCTTGAACGGGTGTCAGTGAATCCCTTGGGAATTCACCAGTGGAACTTGCCCTGTCCTGTGTGTCATCCACATGAGTGCTCAGTGGTCCAAATTGCCGCAGACCTCCTTCGGGGTTCTCGTTTTGCACGCTGTCATCCGGAACATTTTGCACTCCCTCACGACCATGTGCACCATCTCGAGAATGCTTAACCCGTAGGTCGATTTCAAGGTCCGAGGTCTCAGTCTCTTCATCGCTGTCAATCAGATTCCACGCATCTGTTCTACGTGCGACGTCACTGTAGTCGCTGTACGTCAACTTGCTGCATTGTCTCATGAACTTCAGCTCTTCGCATCGCGTCACAAACAACGCGAATGCCCCCACCTCCGCCTTGTGGTAACCACCATATGCTTCTTGTGTCATCGCTTTACGATAGATGTACTTGTGCTGGAATGCAGTCTTGGGGTCGCCCTGGAACAAGTAGTCCCACATTTTTTTTCTCTTCTTCCCCAACTTGTGGTACATGTCCCTGTCCGAGCGTTGTGTGCTCTTATGTTTTTCGATGGTGCAATCGTTTCGAGGATCCTTGGCGAGTATTTCGATGGCCTTTGTCAAATATGCGATGTCTTTGGACGATGCATCGCACGCAAATACATGGTTCCCCGCGCGCAAAAGCTCCCACACAAGGCCAACATGTGGCTTCCCAAGGACTATAACCCCTTCGTCCTCATGTAGAAATGATCTGCATAAGGTTTGTAGCTGCTGCGGCTCTCGTTCCCAACGCCCATACTCCTCTTTTTCACTGCCTTCATCGCCGCCATGTTTTGCTGCACACCGCTTAAAAAATTGTTCCACGACGTTTACTTCCACAATGTCCGCTTTTGAGCGCGGCACTCTTGTAACCTTTCTGAGGTCGCCTCCCTCGGCATGCAGGACGATCCTCATCGTGTCCTTACTCTCAATTTGCGTATTCCCGTATTTATTGAAAGTCGTTCCGACCCCCATAAAGCGCTTCCAAGTGCCTGGTATCACCTCAACGTTCTCCCAATTGTAGAGGTGTCGCATGACGGTCTTGTGATGTTTCTGTGGCGCGAAGACGATCAATGTCCAATTCTTGCCGCACAACTTGGACATAATTTTGTATAGAGCGTCGAAGTCCTCCGACGACCAGGCAGAGCAATGCGACGGTAATGCGAGATCCAAGATGGTGGCCTTGCAATTAAGGTTTGTGGCAGCGGTAACGACTTCGTCTTGCGCAGGCAGCAGCTCCTTTGGGTTCATATTAATCGACAGCAATGTTGCTCGTTGCCCTTTCCCTTCCCACAACAGGTGAAGCGCAACATTTGACAATCGCCGCATCTCTGCCATGAGCAAATCCCCCTTTCCTATCGCCTGATACACGAAGACCTTAAAATGAAATGGCGCATCTTTATACAATGCCCCTGTGGCCTTCAACCCTGCTCCTTTCAGGCCTTTCATTTCTTGGTCGCCACCAAGTCGTTTTGGAACCTTCCTGACGTACTCCAAAGGGATTCTATCCCTTTCCTCGTCCCATGCTTCCGCTGTGACACCGTACCTCTCTGTCATGCCATTGTAATCGAAGAAGAACTTTTGGTTCCAGTCGTCCTTCTCTCTGTTCTCCGATTTGAACACGATGTAGTTGAAGAGACGCATCATGTACCTCTCTCGCATGATAATGTCGAGGAGGTTGTCCATGTTCAACTTCCCCGTAGGAACCTGTCTAGCGGTGGCTATGACCTTCTTGTTGATCATCAACCTCAATGCGACTTCCTTCTCTCGCGCCGTCATATCTCCAAACCGTTTGAAGTTTGATGGAACGAGATCTTTGAAGGTGACGGTGGCTCCATGCCCCCCGTCCTTAGCCGCTATGCAATGGAACACCTCCTTTTTCCCATTGACTTCTTCCGTATATTGCCCCGGAAGCTTCCCCTCTTGCCTCCCCGACATATCTCTAGGGCACCTGCCATCGTAAAGTGACAACTCTCCTGCTTCGAACTTCTCAAAATACTTTTTCACCAACGGCCATATCCACCTCTTACACGTCGCCACGTTCATGTATCCTCTTATCCGGTTCGACCAGTCGGGCTGCCACTTCGGATGCAAGGCCTCAGTCCAAAGGCTTTTTTCACATGACCAGGTCATGCAAACCCTCATGAATTCCCGCCACGTCTCCTGGTGCATTTTACCGTTGATGTCATTTTCAGCCACCTTGAAACCCACAGGCTTGATGTAGTTCTTCAACCGCCAAAAACCTCTTATGTCTTCACACGCCTGGTGGAACGACGGTAACATGGCACGGTCACCTTTTGCGTTGTCGTATGTCGAAACAATCGAATACCCGTGTTTGTGATCGTCGTCAAAGTAAACAACGCGCACACGGTCATAATCGTGCAAACTATAAATGGCAACAGCAGGAGATCCCCGACGTACCGCTCTTTTCATGGCCTCTGCGGTGTGCTGCCCAGCAACCGGGTAATAGAAGTATTCCTTCGCACGCCTCCAATCAAAGTCCTCCGGAAGAACACGTGTTCCTTGGACATTGGGGTCATTCGCGCAAGGCGTAATTGGAGCGAGTGTCAACTCCGACGGTTCGCACGGAGCATCATCATCCACACCCCTTTGAGCAGTGGACCTATCAATTAATGCATCGAGACCTGCAACAATTGCCTTGTTCAGCGACCGCTGGTTGAATTCGATATTCCCCTCGGGAATCGGAAGAATCGACATGACATCTATGCAAACCCTTGGCACGTCTTTTCTTTTTCTGCCGTCTTCATCGTACTTGAGAAAGAAGCACCGTGTCATGTCGACTGCACGGGGCTTCTTCGTTTCCGTTTCGTCCTCGGCAATGAGGTCAGGTCGACGAGGGCCCACCCCTTCAGCGTCGTCACTTAAATCATCTGACTTGGGAAGCCTTGATGAGCGTGTAGTCCTCTTAGGTTGCGATGTTTTGCGAAAACGGCTTCCTTCTTTACGTTTCTTGCCGGCTTCGCCAAGCGTTTCCTGTGATGCATCCAAGGCACATCGAGCATCATCCACAAATTCTTTTCTGACTTGTTTCTTCATCGCTGCTGGTGTTAGGGATGCATTTGCTTTCCGCTTAGACCTACTCTTCGAAGCCCCACCCGTTTCTACATCGCCATTCCCTCCATCGTCCTGCTCATCCTCATTCTGCATTCGTTCACTTTGTTCCATGTCATTGTGTGGCCCACCACTCCACGCACCCATTTCACTTTGTTCCCTGTCATTGTGTTCCTCATCCGAACAATCGTCATCACATCGCCCACTGCCACGAGGACGTTGTTCGAGTTCCACGTTCCCTTCGCTGTCTCCTCCGGCGCCCCCGTGTCGTGAGTCCTCCAAGGACCCCACGTCCCGTCCATGGAACCCAACATCCTCCTCCGTTTCCGTTTGCTCCTCAGACCGTTGGTCGACGGCTTGAAGATCCGTCTGCCACGAGCGTGAAGTGCCAGCAGTCGCAGCAAGTCCTTGCAGTTGCGGTGGAGTTGTGGCGAGTTGTTTCCTCTTCGCAGCCTTATCCGATAAACCTGCCCCCGACCGCCTGGAGTACGTAATTACCTTCTGAGCAACGTCTGAATGTTGCTGAGAAGTTGAAGGTTCTTGGCGTGCTTCACCACAAGACTTCAAAATGCCAGCGACGCCCTGGACCGGAGTGTCGTACGGGACAAGCGGTCCTGTGAACTGATGACCGGCGTCTACTATCGGGTACTGACCACTTTTTCTATAGCTGTTTGTTTTGTTAAGAAAATCCACCGGATGAACCATCCGAACCTCAATTCCACCCCCCTTCGCTTCGAAAGGTTTCATACCGAACGCCCTGTGACCGTACCCTTTGAACTGGGTTAGGTCGAGGCTGACTTTCTTGTCGGCGTCGACCCAGTCGGTGCCCTGTTCATCGTAAACAGAAGTGAGATGAAATTTCCTCAATTCTCTGTCGTCAACCTTGCCCTTCTCCATCGTCGCCTCATCGCCCTCGGACTTCATGATGCCACCACAACAGTACCAATTCAGACCTCCGTCTTCCGTCAAGAAAACTATAGCACCACATCAGGCCTCATGGGTGCCACCCACCCATTCAAGAGCCCAAAGCTTATCACGGTAGAGTTTGGACCTGTTGTTTATCCTTTTCTCCCCATCTCTTGAATTCCTCGATTTCCTTCCTGAACGAGCAAAACATACGCAAAGACCGACCGGACAAACAGACAATTGTCATTGCCATATCACCAACTGGATCCCCTAACAACAGACCCTCTCAAGCGATCGTTCCAGGGAGGGTCTACATCGGTGCACGAAGTTGAGTGGGAGTCCAGCGTTTGTGAAACGCTGGACCCTCCACCCTATCTGTGCCGAAGGGGGAGAGTGTCCGGCTTTTCACAAACGCAGACCCCTTGGGGGCACGAAGAGGAGCGGGGCTCCAGCGTTTGTGGAACGTTGGACCCACTCCCCTACCTGCGGCGAATGAGGAGAGGGTTCGACGTTTCGCAAACGCTGGACCCCACAAGGGCGCGAAGCGAAGCAGGTTATACAACCTCTGCACACGAACTCCCCTGGGCTAGCGCATCGTACTATCACAGATACTGCCTGCGCACCACCCACGGGAAAAGTCCTTTAAGAAGGGGCAGGGCATCATCACCACATCACCAACTGTAGCCCCTAACAGCAGTCCCTCACATGTGACCGTTCCAGGGAGGGCATCCCTTGGTGCAAAAAGTTTAGTGGGTTCCACCCGAAGGGGGAGAGGGTCCAGCATTTCGCAAACGCCGGACCCCCCTGCTGGCAGAGAGAGGTGTGGGGGTCCAGCGTTTCGCAAACGCCCGACCCCCCTGCTGGCAGAGGGAGGTGTGGGGGTCCAACGTTTGTGAAACGCCGAACCCTCTCCCCCTTCGACATCGAAGGGGGAGGAGGTCCAGCGTTTCGCAAACGTCGGACCCCCCCTGCTGGCAGAGAGAGGTGTGGGGGTCCAGCGTTTGTGAAACGTCGGACCCTCTCCCCCTTCGATGCCGAAGGGGGAGAGGGTCCAGCGTCTCGCAAACGCCGGACCCCCCCTGCTGGCAGAGAGAGGTGCGGGGGGTCCAGCGTTTGTGAAACGCCGGACCCTCTCCCCCTGCTGGCATCGAAGGGGGAGAGGGTCCAGCGTTTCGCAAACGTCGGACCCCCCTGCTTGCAGAGAGAGGTGCGGGGGT